ACTTTGTCGATTCTATTTTCCGAGATATTCACGTTTTTCTCTTGCCAACTCCCATTTAAACCCATGTTAAATTATTTTTTCGATCGTCTATATAGCGTCGTCACTCTTTACGCTATCAAGTTCATTTTTGGCTCTAAATTTGCAGAATCAGATCAAGATTATCGGCATATACATAACTCCAATAGTGTCAAAGTGGTCCCTTTCCATGCGAACGTCCACATTTACATTCGAAATTAAATTCAAACTCACAACATTGAGAATTCAGTTGAAGCTGTGACTGAAATTTCAAAAAATTTATAACAGTGCGTTACTAAAAAATGTGTACTGCATTTTATTCACCATTAATAAAAAATAATTGAAAAACACAATGATGAATGAAATGATAATAAAATCCCCGCCGTCTCCTTAATTATTTGATTTCCTGTCTTTTAACTCAGCAGACTTGAAATCCGTGAGAATTTAAATATTTTCTTGGTTCGATATGAATAACCAGGAAGCAACTGTACTGTTCCGCTCTGTTAATTCCCTCGAAGAGCGTATTAATACCCCACTATAACAACTCCGGGGTGCATTTAATTTGGCGAAGGAAGGAAATCTCCACCTGGGAACCCGAAATTCTCACTAAAACGAAAAAATAGTATGGGATGATGCGGAAGATGGAAGTTGGTGGGGCGCGGGGCGTTTATTTCCGTCGCATTTCTCCACACGCTGGCACTTCCGGTGGCGTATCGGTAAGGGTGAAGAATGAACTTTTTATTTCCGGTTGTCCACGGGGTTGTATATAACATTTGACACGTCCAGAGGGACCGGAACTCAAGACCATAGAGATACAATAGAGAAGTTCTCAGTGTGTGACAAACGGCTCTGAGGCACTAGGAGTCATGTTTCCGGACACCTGCCGCGATGGCACATCCCTCGGGAGGATATTGCAACTTCCGGCCTTTTTCTTTCACGGTAATCCCTTATTTTCAATTCTTGGATTTATTCTATTGGAGGAAATTAAATAAACTAAAAAGCAATGTGTGCTATTTTACTATTTTACGTTATTAAACAATTTCGAATAATTGTTTCAATGGAAATAGTGTTATAAACAATATAAGTAATGATAAAATAACGTGATAATTGTAAGTATTTATAATTATTATCGAAATAGGAATAAAAAATACAAGGAAAAAATTCTATTGTTCAACTCGGTTGCTTTTTTGCCGAATATAAACTTGAAAACAAATATCGAAGAGTGATGAATCGAGGGAAATTCCGAGGGGATTCCAGCCTCTTTATTCTATTTGAGAAAATTAAATAAATTGAAAAACAACGCGTGCATTTTACTATTTTACGTTATTAAACAATTTCAATTAATTGTTCCAACGGAAATAGTGATATAAACAATATAATTAATGATAAAATAAAGTGATAATTGTAAGTATTTATAATGATTATCGGAATGGAAATTAAAAACACTAGGAAAAAAATTATATTTTTCAATTCGCGTGCATTTTTGCCGAATATAAACTTGAAAACGAATAGCGAAGAGTGATGAATCGAGGGAAATTCCGAGGGGATTCCGGCCTCTTTATTCTATTCGAGAAAATTAATTAAATTAAAAAACAATGCGTGCTATTTTACTATTTTTATTTTACTATTTTAAGAAACAATTCAATTAATTGTTTCAACGGAAATAGTGATATAAACAATATAATTAATGATAAAATAAAGTGATAATTGTAAGTATTTATAATGATTATCGGAATAGAAATTAAAAACACTAAAAAAAATTGTATTTGTCAATTCGTGTGCATTTTTGCCGAACATAAACTTGAAAACGACTATCGAAGAGTGATGAATCGAGGGAAATTCCGAGGGGATTCCGGCCTCTTTATTCTATTCGAGAAAATTAATTAAATTAAAAAACAATGCGTGCTATTTTACTATTTTTATTTTACTATTTTAAGAAACAATTCAATTAATTGTTTCAACGGAAATAGTGATATAAACAATATAATTAATGATAAAATAAAGTGAGAATTGTAAGTATTTATAATGATTATCGGAATGGAAATTAAAAACACTAGGAAAAAAATTATATTTTTCAATTCGTGTCCATTTTTGCCGAACATAAATTTGAAAACGAATATCGAAGAGTGATGAATCGAGGGAAATTCCGAGGGGATTCCGGCCTCTTTATTCTATTCGAGAAAATTAATTAAATTAAAAAACAATGCGTGCTATTTTACTATTTTTATTTTACTATTTTAAGAAACAATTCAATTAATTGTTTCAACGGAAATAGTGATATAAACAATATAATTAATGATAAAATAAACTGATAATTGTAAGTATTTATAATGATTATCGGAATAGAAATTAAAAACACTAAAAAAAATTATATTTGTCAATTCGTGTGCATTTTTGCCGAACATAAACTTGAAAACGAATATCGAAGAGTGATGAATCGCGTTGAATGTTGGGGGTGTGACGTGTGGAATGAGAAAATGGTCAATGGGGGGGTGGTTTACCGTCCCAATGACCCAGTTCGTTTCCCGAAGGGTTGAATGAACGCACATCTGGTATGACGTCATTGGCGTCCCACTTTCCAGAATTTTCCTGGTGTAGTGCAACCTCAGTGGGTTTGCGCTGTCTCCCCCTCCCATCCACCCCAGCTTTTCCATTTTCTTTTTTATCGGAAGCCCAACCATCTCCTGGCGTACATTCGCTTTTCCTCTGTGACCTGTAGGGGAGGCCGTGCCAACGTCATTTGAAATTCCCCCTCTTGACGACCTGACCCGATCCAAGCAGCCTCGACCTGCATCGAAACCCATGAATGAAATTCACCTGGCGACCTAGCTCGCCGTCATATCTTTCGCGGGGAAATACCTCATTGTTGTTATTTTTAGATACGCGGGGAATTGAGTAAAGTTTTTCCACAACTCAACAGAATGTTATGTCTGTACAAAAGCGAAAGTACAGAGTTAAAAATTATTACCTGAAATTTCAAGTACACGTCTCGCAAATTTTTATTACAATTTAGTTCCACTGAAATTTCACGGAATTTCGCCGTTGGAAATGGAAAATTTTATGGAGAAATCGAACAAAACTATACCATTCAAATTTTTTATTCCAGAAAAATTAATAGAAATGTTTAAAATCCGTTATATCTTTTGCGGGAAAATACCTCATTGTTGTTATTTTTAGATACGCGGAGAATTGAGCAAAGTTTTTCCACAATTCAACAGAATGTTATTTCTGTGCAGAAGCAAAAGTACAGAGTTAAAAATTATTGCCTGAAATTTGAAGTACATGTCTCGCAAATTTTTATTACAATTTAGTGCCACTGAAATTTCACGGAATTTCGCCGTTGGAAATGGAAAATTTTATGGAGAAATCGAACAAAACTATAACGTTCAAATATTTTATTCCACAAAAATTAATAGAAATGTTTAAAATCCGTCATATCTTTCGCGGGGAAATACCTCATTGTTGTTATTTTTACATACGCGGAGAATTGAGTGAAGTTTTTCCACAATTCAACAGAATGTTATTTCTGTGCAGAAGCAAAAGTACAGAGTTAAAAATTATTGCCTGAAATTTGAAGTACACGTCTCGCAAATTTTTATTACAATTTAGTTCCACTGAAATTTCACGGAATTTCGCCGCTGGAAATGAAAAATTTTATGGAGAAATCGAACAAAACTATAACGTTCAAATGTTTTATTCCACAAAAATTAATAGAAATCTTTAAAATTCGGGGGACCCTCTCCTTGAATTTTCAACTAATTGAAAATTCGTTTTCTGCTGCTCAAAAATGTGGAATTTCATTAAATTTCAGTGGAACCTGAAATCCCTTGATTTTTCTCCTCAATAGCATTCCTCGCTCGTGTCCTGTTATTTTTAAACAAAAATGAAAATATCCCTCAGCTCAATTTTCAAAGCATAAACTGGCCCCTCGATTCAGTGAAACACAAAAAACCCGTCAGACTATGCGAAGAGGCGAATTTTTCACGAGAATCTCATTGTCTCAGAATCCCAACAAATCCTCGGTCTATCTTTTCTCCCGCGCTGGGAAACCTTTTTCCCCTGGAACAATGATCAATTTTCCCTGGGTTGAGCGCCGGAACAAGTACAATGCAGCTCAGTGAGAAAAAAATGTAAAAATTTACGGGGGTAAATTTGGTCAGACAATTGCGTTCGTTAACCGGGGTCTCGCTTCGTTCAGTCAACTGACATAGACACCCTGAATGGAGAGGAGAGAATCGAGGGACTAGACGCTGTAGTAAACGCTGACCTCAGGGAGATATTTGAGAGACGCCCACCAGCGGCGAATTTCTGGAGGCTGGAAAAACTACGGGGATGGGATGCATAAATCTTACCCCGGGGGAACAAAGGCCATATCGCATTACAAAGTCTCGGAGTTTCTTTTCCTTTCATGGTCCATAAACACTAAGGGATCCCGTTATTTTGAGGGCTCGCGGGGAGCCGAGGGCTCTGCAATTATTCGAAAGGTTAACGTTTACAATGAAATAGTATTTGTTTACAATAAAAAAAAAAAAATTCGGAATATATCTTCAATTTTTTTCAATAGGAAATGAAAAACAACTCCCGTAATGTTCAGGTGCAATTGAATTAATGAAATGAAACGCAAAAAAATAGGAAAAATTGCACTCTATTAATTTTTCACACGATATATTCCATTGAACATTTATATTGAAAAAATACGCGCCGGCAAAAATCCAAACGTTTTTCTCAGTGTAAAATTTTGATTCCAAAAACTAATGAGAAATCGCTATTTCGCGTTGAAATATTTCTATTACAAGCGATAAATTCACTGTCAATACCAGTGGGATCAAGGTTTATTTTTCAGGAGAACTGACAGTGAGATTAAGTTCTTACATAAAACCCGGAGAAAACAAAATGGCAGAGCGATAGTACATTTGCAATGTATTTTTTTTGTATTTTGGCACACGGCACCAACTGCAGCGTTACAGTGATGGGATAAAGACGAATCAGTTTCTTGCGGCTGCTGCATACACATACGGACCACCGACAATACCGCTCGTCATTGGAATCTGCATAACTAGTTGCATCATCTTAACAAGTGGCATCATGGAATTTTTGAGCTTCGACCCAACAACTAAACAACTAGTCCTCGACAACTGCGCAATTCCAAAGCCCAAAGAGAATGAAGTTTTGATTAAAGTTGCGTTCTCCGGAATTTGTGGAACTGATTTGCACATTTTAGATGTATGTAGGACTCCGTTCCATTAATTTTCAACTGGGAATTGATTAATTGGATCCATTCAGTCGCGAAGTGGTAAATCGGTTTAAGTCGGCTCATCTCCCCGTGAGTTTTTGAGGAATATTTCAGAATCTAAGGGAGATAGCGAAATTTTCGTAATTACATTTGTTGTAGCTCTCAATCGGCTCTATAAAAAAGGTTATAACAAAAATTTTGCTATCTCCCTTAGATTCCGAGATATCCATAGAAAACTGGCCAATAGTCAAAATTGATTTATGCCGTTTTACTTCGCTGCTGCATTGATTGCGTTTGAAGGGAGAGGAAGGAATAGAAAATTATTTGGAAGAAATTTATCGATAAATCACGGTTTTTAGGGGTCTTTTCCAGCCAAGAAAGACGGTCGTTTGACTCTCGGCCACGAGTTCGCGGGCACTATTGAGGCCCTCGGTAGTGCCGTAAAGATATTCAAAATCGGACAAAAAGTTGCGGTCGACCCGAACAGCGGCTGCAACAAGTGCAGCTACTGTCACAATGGGAAGTATCACTTTTGTGAAAATGGAGGGATAAATCATACCATCGGAATCTTCAGAAACGGGGGATGGGCGACTCACGCCGTTGTTCCCGAGACTCAGGTATCAATAATCACTGAAATATACGACTCGCGCGAGACAACCGTTGATCATTCCGTCCCATCCCCATCATCGATTTCCCTAATAATAATGTCCCCTCAAATTGCGGAAAAAAGTCATTAAATGATAATATAAATCAATTTTCGTGCGTCCAAACGGTGGTAATTGCAACCTGTCAGTTTCCACCGCTTCATCGGGATGAAAAATAATCGAAATTGACTTATGAAGGTTCATTTAGTGCCGGAAGGGATCGAGATGCCTCAGGCGGCCCTCACTGAGCCCCTATCCTGTCTGGCGCACGGATGGGACATGATAAATCCTGTGAACGTTGGCTCTACAGTCTTAATCATCGGCTCTGGGATCATAGGACTCCTCTGGGCGTGTCTACTGCACCTTCATGGTCTGAGAAAAAGTGTCTCTATCAGTGAACCTCAGCCCGGAAGACGAGAGGCCGTCAAAAAACTAGGTAATCTCCATTCGAATCCGGTAACGACCTCTCTTCTCCGCATTTCTAATTCAATTTACTTCCTCTCCCGTTTTTTTAATTATATATTTTCATTCCATTTGGAATGAGAAGTAGAGTAATGCATTTGAAGCACTCGGGAATATTTATTTATTTTATGTAATTTATTTATTTCATCTATTTCATTTTTTTTCAGTTTTTCGTAATCATTTTTTAGAATTAATATTGTCCACTAATAATTTTTAAATCCCCACAGATCTTGATTATGACGTCAACAGTCCCGGAGACCTCAAATCGAAAACTTTTGATCTTGCTGTGGACTGCAGTGGATCAGGCCCGGCCATGGAGGCTGCTGTGCCCCTCTTGCGACGCGGGGGGAGACTCTGTGTCTTCGGAGTTGCTAATCCCAATGCTACATTGACTCTTAAGCCATTCGAGGTGCAGATCTAATTTTTTACTGAACGCTTATAAAGGCGTAATTTTATTATTCATTTTTTTCAGATTTATATGAAGGAATTGCAAGTCTTGGGGGTCAATATAAACCCGTTCACCTTTCCCAAGGGCCTTTCACTTGTTCAGGCAATGTCAGACCGCTATCTCTCGCTCGATAAATTGGGAATTCGAGTTTTTAAGCTGTCTGAATACAGGGAAGCCCTGGAAGCCCTGAAAGCAGGGCAGATCAGCAAAGCAATGTTCAAATGTAATTGAATTTACGTGATTGAATGGATTTTGTTGACAATTGGACGACCGATCGTTTTTTTTCATCGAAATGAAGAAAAAATCTTGAAGGGAAATGGGTGATGAATAAAACATTTTTGGAAGAAACTGAGCAATATTTATTATTCAATCGTAGAGTTTGATATTATTGTCTCTTGACAATGAGTGTTGCCTATAAAATTTGAAGAATCGTTTCATTATCTCGTTAAATTATTCAGCATAAATTTTATTAGAAAAAGATGGTCAATAAACCTAGCTGCCTACGGATATTAGTTGAATATCAATATCTCTAGATATGTAATTCTCTTACTATCGAAAATAGTAGATAAATTTTTATCAAATTACAAGAGTAAAATTTTTAAAAACCCTAAATCTCTATGTGAGTGATACAGATATCTGTGCATAGTGCAGAGTATTTCAAGTACCTTGCATTGAAGTGCAAAAAATCCGACTCCGTTAAGTTAATATACAATTCTACAAGCTAATGACGCCTTACAAAACAATACGAATACATATTCGTGATCAAACGAAAAAAGAAGACATCATTTTTAAAATTTCCACAATTCCTCATTATTAACTTCAAACATTAAAAACGATATCTATAATTTTCCCTAATTTCCCCAATTTTTCAAAAATAATTAAAATGATCTTCTTGATTCCCACAATCACAATCTGAAAACAAGAATACATAAAAAAACATATGTATGGAAATATCTATGAAATGAGATTCACAATTTGGTATAAAAGTACAAAAAAACCTTCAGGAGAGTAATAAGATTCGTTGTTGGAGTTATACTCATGTTAAATTAATTTCACTTGTTCTCATTATTTGTTTTGTTCTTGTAACTGATCCCTAGACTCGTGCATTCAGTGAAAATCCCACTGATCAACGTGCACGCAAATATTTTAATGATTATCTAATGCAAGTATTCGATTAATTCACCATTTCGAATAATGGAAATACTTTTTCAGGGGTTTATCGTCAAAGCATTTACCCTTTCTTACGTACAAGCTACCCTCAATCCACTGTATTCGAGTAAAAAAGTATTTAATTCTATTTGAACCTCTGATCTTCGACGTTAATTATAGTAGGAAATTTCAAGTTTAAACTATGGAGTTGTCATTGTTAGCGCCACTAATCCAGTGAGACATGTCATCCACGTAAACAAGGCGTTTCTGTGGCCTCTCGAGCCCAGCAGGCCCCGGTAATTAATATTTGGTATTAATGTTTCTGGAATGAAAAACATTTTGAAATAAAATTCTTTCGTCTAATCTACAGTTTTGTACACTAACTGAAGGGAGTGATAACACTATGTACACGTTGAGATTCTTACCTGACAAATGCTACTGCCATCAAGGCAAGTGCCACCAAGGGTCCTGACGAAACTGGCAATACACCAGTTGCATAATGCGCTTGGCCACAAGCAGGTGGACATACTGGGACTACAGTTTCTGCGGAAATAAAACGAGGATCTCTAATACATGCGAACTACAAACTGAGGATATCAGGAATGTTCATCCATTTGAACTGAAAATTAGTGGGAGTGTAGCAAAATAAATTTACATTTGTCATTTTCATCAGCGAAAAACATAATTTTGCTAGATAAACATTCCCAATTGGTCTAAATAAATCAATGAAAAACAAATAATGCATTCATCAATGGAATAACGTCACTACAATGCTATTTGCCATTTTTCCACAGACATTTGAACATTTAATAGGCCAACGTGACATTTTCAATGCGAATAACAATCGATCCCTTACCGAACAGATTGACCCTCGTCTCGGCAGATCCCAGTTTGTTAACTGCTCTGCAGACATACTCTCCGTACTGTCGTTTCTCGATCGTGATGATGCGAATTGTTGTGTCAGTGTACTCGTCAGCATTGGCAAAGTGCGAGATACTGTAATGCTGATTATTCGACAGCACCACGTCGTCCTTCAGCCAGGTAATTGCTGGGGGTGGGTATGCCTCAACGTGACACTCAAGATCCATGTCGTACTGGAGTGCTTGACCCAGGTGAGGACGTCGGGCTGTTATCACAGGGGCAAATTCAACTTCAACGTTTATGTTTCTGCGGTCAGCTTTACCAACTTTATTCTCAGCTACGCAGTAGTAGGTACCACGGTCTTCCTTGGTGATTGATGTTATCTTCAGGAAATTTCCTCTGTTGATATTCATAATTTTCGTTAATTCATTTGGAATTACAAAAGCCCCCATGCATTTACCCCTTTGTTATCAATAATAATTTTTTCTACTTCGTCACTAATTGAAGGAAAATTAATGAAGCAGTTCATTTCATTTTTATTTTGTTACATAAAATAAAGATTATCTCGTATTAGATATCTTTTACGTTCTTGATATTCTCTTTCGTATTTAGACTCCACGATTATTCGATCTATCTCGCACGAAGCCAAATGTCAAATACGATGACCCAATTCTCAGAGTAAACCACGTCATCGGAAACAACGTAATTCAGAATGAGAAATAGAAAACATTTCTTTCAAAAATTTCGTTGGGAATATTTTTTCACCTGTAAATTGACCCCCCAGTAGGCAGAATAGCCCTGTTCTCCCTGATCCACGAAATTCTTGGAGTTGGATAGCCCCCAGCGAAGCAAGATAGCTCAACTGGCTCGGTTTCACTCACAACAACTGCTCTAGTCGAGTTATCACTGATGTAAGGTGGACGACGCACTTGGAGCTCCACTTGGGCTGATACTTTTGATGCTAGGGAGGTGTTTATTTCACACCGGTATATTGCAGCGTCGATTTCTTGAATATCTTTTATCTGCATAAAACAAAGAGATTATTCCAATTATTTTTACAAACATTTCATTTTCTTTGAGAAATTAAAGTCTTATGTTGTAAATAAACAACTGAAGACATGAAATTCCGGGAAAAATAAATCAAAACAAATGAACTTTATGAATTTTCAAAATTATGGGTGAGTTCCATGGCCCATGAGTCACCAATATTATTCGTTAACCACTGGAAACCCATAGCGATTATTTAATTGTCTGACAACCAATGAATGAAGTGACTCAATATTCAATTAATCAGTAATTCTGAATCAAGATTGATGAATTCATGTAAAATTTCACAACATTGGTGGCGTTATCGGGAAATACATTAGTCATTCGTACCTGGAGGGTAAACGTGGAGGTTGCTTCGTCATAACGCAGTGCAAAGCGACTCTCCTTGATAATTAAAGTCGTCCTAGACGACAAGGTAACAGGGTCTCCATTGCCACTAGACTTCACCCAGACAACAGAATAGTCCTGTACATATTGAACTGAGCAGTGTAGCTCTACCGTTCCTCCAATATCTTTTATTTGCTCTTGCGATATGTAAGATATCGTGGGAGTTCTCTGAGCATAAACTGTGACTGAAAAGAGTAAAATTATTCTTATTTTTCGATGTGTTGGAAAATTGGGGAAAAATACTCCTGAATTTAAATAATCATAAGTTCTGCCCAGAATTTAAAAAATTAAATAAATTAAACATAAATTGCAATATTTTTATGAATTTTTTACTAGACTAGAATGTTTATAAGTTGGAAGAGGCTTCAATCTTCAATATCTTCTCGCCAAAGGGCACGATATGGGTAAATAAAATTTAATTGTAAAGCCGCAGACAATATCTTAAGAATGAACACAAAATTGAGAAATTTCATTTTGTTTGCCCAATGAAATTCAGGGGTAATTATCGACCCATTTCGCTCACCCTCCCCCTTTAAGGGTCTATTGAAATTTTAAGGTTATGAATTCAATAACTCGAGTTCGATTGTTAAATTATGATTTGCGGTGAGTAATCAATGAGTAAACACCATGACTCATAAATTAATTGAGCAATTCAACCCAACTTGAGCAGTTTAAAATATTTTTAAGTCTAGTTTTTCGATATTTACCTATTTGCAGTGCAACGACAACAATGACAAATCTCCCGATCATCTTGACACACCTTAAGTGAATCAAACAACGCCCAAAAAACTTATTTCACTGTTGTTCACTCAATATTTCTACCTCTTATGTTTTTATAATCAACTCCAGGTGTCTGACTGCTGTCAAGCAAACGTTTTGTTTATCATCAGGTCTCTTCTTTGGATTTTTTGGTAAAAATGCACTGAGAAGTTGAGAATTATTTTTGAATTATGATAATGAGAATGTAGTAAATGAACTTGTTAAAAAAACGAGGCGTGTATGCTCGATATCTTCACAGGTGTTTGTGGTAAAATGGGGGGGGGGATTGTTGANGGGGGGGGGGGATTGTTGAATCACCAATAAATATGGCTGAGGCAGACGCTACACACCCAAGTAGTAGTTCTGAGTGCGATTTATCTGCAAACTATCTGTATCTGGGTAACTTGTAGATAATGCAAAAAAGGCGCCAGTTGATACTGACAGCTACCACATGTTATCTAGAAGACGACTTTCAGTGGATATCGATTCGACATGACTAGTGATTGACTAAAAGTTATCAATTACGATGTGTTGTCTAGATATNCTATCTGTATCTGGGTAACTTGTAGATAATGCAAAAAAGGCGCCAGTTTGATAACTGACAGCTACCACATGTTATCTAGAAGACGACTTTCAGTGGATATCGATTCGACATGACTAGTGATTGACTAAAAGTTATCAATTACGATGTGTTGTCTAGATATCGTTTTCCTGGCATCGAAAAGATACCAATTGTATGTTGAGTTTTCGATACATCAGCAGAGCGACCCAAGTAGCAACCTTGCGAAAAATATCTGAAGTTCAAGGGCTGACATTTTGTTATCTCATTGTAACTGACGCAGGGTTAACAATTTGGGTGTCTGTGCAGATAATATGTAGATATACTTTTTGGAATACGGCGGGGTAACTTTCAGGCATGTCTAGCAGATAACCGCTATCTTTTAAAAAGTACCTGAATGTCATCTTTCAGATAAATTTGTTCTACTGGGACAGCTAGTCAACCGAGAGAGTGAGAAAAATACTCCTGCAGTACTTCCGATTGTTGAATTTGAAATGTCTTCGGAAAATAAAAATTGAAAATTACCTATTTTTGAGCAACAGCAGTGATGAAAATGTGCAGAAATTTTAGCCAAAAATTTTGTCATTTTTTTAATTTTCATTTTAGGAAGGGAAAGACCATTAATAAATTGATCATTCGCTTCAAAGCTGAAATAGAACTTTTTCGATATACTGTCATAATCGATTCTGCCATTGATTAATTAATGTGAATTAGCAATTAGTAATCAGTAGTAAAGTGGTAAACAGAGATAAGTCGACTTATCTCCCAGTTGAGTTTTTGAGGAATATTTCTGAATCTAAGGGAGATAGCGAAATTTTCGTCATTACACTTATTGTAGTACTCAATCTGCTCCACAAAAAAGGTTATAACAAAAATTTCGCTATCTCCCTTAGATTCCGAGATATTGATTGTAAACTGGTCAATAGTCAAAATTGACTCATCTCCTTTTACCACTTCGCTACTGAATTATTTTATTAGTCGTAAAAATTTGTATTCTCACACGTGAAAAATCCATTTCCAATTAAAAATACATTTCAACCCAATGAAAAATTCCCATCCTTCCTAATGATACCCCGAAATAATCCTCTCAGTCTACTTTTAGATCTCTCGATCGCTGGATCGGAATAGGTGCATCGAAGGGGAGCAAGGGTAACATCACAAGAGCAAATGTCACAGGCAATTTCCTAAATGGATCAAGCATGATGAAGCTAGAAGTACAAAAAAATCCAATTGTCTAAATATAAAAACGGTCAATGAAAGTGAAGGATCGATAATTGTAAATAATTTATCATCACGGGAGGGCGAAGCCACTGCGTCACCCCAGAGGCGACCAACTTGACTATCTTCCTCCCAAATTCCCTGTCCACTCGTTGTATTTGCATTTCAACAACAATATTGTCAATTAATGAAGAACAATGGCCGGTGTCAATTACCGCTGATGCAATTAAATTCACTTCCTCCAGTAGTTACTTTATTGGTCACTTGGCGATTCTCTCGGCCATCGAGTCGAATCTTAATGAGTCCCGTTACCTGTCGCGTATGGACTCGAAGGAAAAATTGAAAAGCTCGATGTAATTCTGTTCACCATAACAAAATAAAGAATTAATGACCGATAAAAAAATTAAATAGAATAAAGAAAGGAATTGTGACGTATATTGAGAGAAAGTATCGTGAGGATCGATTGATTAAATGAAGTGAGCAATTTTATTACCGAAATTCCTCCCAAATTCCCTGTCCACTCGTTGTATTCGCATTTCAACAACAATATTGTCAATTAATGAAGAACAATGGCCGGTGTCAATTACCGCTGATGCAATTAAATTCACTTCCTCCAGTAGTTACTTTATTGGTCACTTGGCGATTCTCTCGGCCATCGAGTCGAATCTTAATGAGTCCCGTTACCTGTCGCGTATGGACTCGAAGGAAAAATTGAAAAGCTCGATGCAATTCTGTTCACCAAAACAAAATAAAGACCTAATGACTGATAAAAAAATAAAATAGAGAGAATAAAGAAAGGAATTGTGAAGTATATTGAGAGTATCGTGAGGAAAGTATCGTGAGGATCGATTAATTAAATGAACTGAGCATGTTTATTAGCAAATAAATAATTCACGGAGCAACTGCATTGGTCTATTAAACATATTCTCCATTTTTATGGTAAAAGTGGATGAAATAAGCCAAGCCGTGTTGTTATTCAGTAACCATAGCAATTTGTTAAAGCCCACGGGGAGCTTTCGACGATACAAGACAATACGATAAAGCGAGAGGGAGGATAGAAGCCCGCGATGTTTGACTACCGTGTGTGGCACGTACGATATACGTCCTATTGTCGTTTCGATTGTCAACATTACCTTTGCGGAGAGACCGATGAATTGTCCAGTCGTATGGCAACGACACGACGAGAACGTCTTAAATTCGTGTTTTTGGTTCTCGTACAAGTGGCACTCGCAAATTTCAAAAATTCCCAATCGACGTAAATTTAGTTGCGATGAATTGTTCGATAGGGGCACTTCACGGTGTGAGGACTGAATATTTCAATCGACTGTTTCAACGAAAATGAAGGGATTCGATTTTAGAATCAGTGTCTGCAATAATCGGGGCGTTTGATTGATTGATCGTTCGAGGTGTTTCAACCTTCTGCAGTGTAACCTTGAGCACCTGCGAACATTTTGATTGGCACAAAAGTCGGTGCATACGTATGAAACATTGAGGAAGACAATGCCGCTGTCTATTTTAATGTCATCGCTCAGTTAGAGCCCCTATTGGCAGTTTATTGGATTCCTCCGGGGAAAATAAACCCACCGCTTGTCAAGTGACATTTCGAGTGAACACAAAGGAGAATCACCGGAACTTTTGTTAACGGAATAATTACGACGAATGGAAAATTCTACTGTTTAATGCATTGCGGGGGATAATAGAGTCGGGAAAGTTCAAGTGAAAAAGGGAAGAATCAAGGTCGTGGGAAGAGCCGCTCAGTCTTATACCTCATTGGCTTATTTTTTCATAAATAATTTAGAATTGTGGGGGAAAGGGGAGCATCTGCTCCCACGTAATAGCACTCGATTCTTCATTTTTTCTTTTACCTCTTGGTTATACACCGCTGATCGATGTCGATTACACACGACGAAGGATTCGACGAGAGTGTCGTCGCGAGGGAGGACAACGTCCTTCGCTTGCAGTTGGCGTTACCGGTTATACGTAATGAGTCACTGCTACCACCGTCACCCGGGCACCTACCTGGATGCAGTCCAAGTTACTTCACGTGCAGTTCACCGTTTCCATTTAAAGAGAATATCGTCGATGACACGCTCCTGCAGGAGAACGAGATACAGGTATTTGTGAACGGTTATTCACACGGAGAGAAATATTCAATAAAAATTAGGGGACATTGGGGTAAAATGGACACTTGAGTTTTTTTAAATATTAGTGACGGGTTGAAATGTTGATGAAATTTGATCGTTTCGTTTTCAATACAAAGAACAATTCTTTCCCTTTGTAATGAGCCTAAACTGAGCTCTATTGATACATTTGTTTGTGAGCTATGAATATTAGTGACGGGTTGAAATGTTGATGAAATTTAATCGTTTTGATTTCAATACAAAGAGCAATTCTTTCCCTTTGTAATGAGCCTAAACTGAGCTCTATTGATACATTTGTTTGTGAGCTATGAATATTAGTGACGGGTTGAAATGTTGATGAAATTTAATCGTTTTGATTTCAATACAAAGAGCAATTCTTTCCCTTTGTAATGAGCCTAAACTGAGCTCTATTGATACATTTATTTCTGAGCTATGAATAATTTAGAAATATTCAATAAAAATTAGGGGAGATTGGGGTAAAATGGACACTTTTGACTTTTTTTAAAAATTAGTGACGGGTTGAAATGTTGATGAAATTTAATCGTTTTATTTTCAATACAAAGAGCAATTCTTTCCCTTTGTAATGAGCCTAAACTGAGCTCTATTGATACATTTGTTTCTGAGCTATGAATAATTTTTAAAAAGTCTAAAGCGTCCATTTTACCCTACCCTCCCCTTCGGGTCTTTTTCGTAATTCCGGAGCGAAATGTGGTTTTAGGGAATTTGACGGAACTGTCACGGAATTTTTCAGGAGCGTTCCGTAATTTTTTTCTGAATCTCCTGTAAACAATTACGAGACCGTCACTTAAATTTTCTGAGTCGATTCCGTAATCGGTGAGCGAATTGAGTTCCGTAATTTTTACTGGACATTTCTCTCCGTGCACAGCTGGGCACTACATTTTTTCCTTTGCAATTTGTATTTTTAACTGTAGACTCTTCTAGTGCAACCAATTTTTCTCCATCAGTAGATGAATTCAGTAGCGAACTGGTGAAACGGTTTAAGTCGGCTTATCTCCCAGTTGAGTTTTTGAGGAATATTTCCGAATCTAAGGCAGATAGCGAAATTTTCGTAATCACATTTGTTATAGCACTCAATCCGCTCTACAAAAAAGGTTATAAGAACAATTTTGCTATCTCCCTTAGATTCCGAGATATTCATTGAAATTTTCATAATCCCGAAAAATTGCAGAATTTGAAGAAATTTAGCAGTCACTATTTTTTTTTCAAATCGTAAAAATGACTGGCGTGTTGCCACCGTTGTTGGCATTTCGCAGAAAAAAATCGAATAAATTCATTCAGATGGTGACAGTATTTTAAAAAAAAAATTTTAACGAATTATCATGAATTATTGAAACAAAATTTTGTTTCCTCGAAATTAAGCAAAAGCACAGTCGTCGGGTAAGCACGAGTTTCCTCCCCCGAATTATCGAGCCAACGAGCCCATCGAAATCCCAATTAAGTGACTTGGTACGTTCGATCGAAACACCTGACGTCTCGCTGGCATCGACTTCCGGCTCTCGGGGTAGCACTCCGCGTCGATCATCCACTGAGGACGACGTAGTTGTAGGCCCACTCCGAGACGAAATGCCTCTGGATGTGGCGAAACTCGAGGCTGGACTGGAGGCTGCGAATATAGTGGGGCGAGAACTTTTGTACCAACCGGAGAAGAATGGATTGAGGCGGGCGGATGATAAGGGGGCGAGTCCGAGGCCCAAGAAGACTTCCGCAGCGTCAATTTTTCCGGTTGCGGCCGGACTCGTCGCCGTTCGAGACGCATTCGGTGAGTCCTTGCGGATTACGATGCAGTGATAATTTAAAGCAATTATTTCAGTAGCGAAGTGGTAAAACGGTTCAAGTCGACTTATCTCTTTGTTGAGTTTTTAAAGAATATCTCCGAATCTAAAGGAGATAATGAAATTCTCGTAATCACCTTTTCTCTGGAGCAAATTGAGTGCTACAAGAAAGGTCTCAACAAAAATTTAGCTATCTCCCTTAGATTCCGAGATATTCACTAAAAACTGACCAATTGTCAAAATCGACTTGAACCGCTTTACCACTTCGCTACTGATTTACTTCACGGATAATTTTTTTTAGAAAAATTCTAGTACGAGTGGGGGAGGGTGGGGTAAAACGGACACTTTAGACTTTTTTTTAATTATTCGTAACTCAGAAACAAATTGATCAATTGAGCTCAGTTGAGGCTCGTCACAAAGGGAAAGATTGTTCTTTGTATTGAAAAAAAAATATTAAATTTTATCAACATCTCAACCCCTCATTAACATTTAAAAAAAAGTCAAAAGTGTCCGTTTTACCCCAACCTCCCCTACTAGAAAAAATCACAATCCACCGGGTGTGAAAATTTCTAGTGCTGTTAAGGTAAAATTTCTTGGTATTTCTGGTCAAATTTTTGGGGATTTTTGTTAAATTTTCACAGAAATACGGGGAGAACTTACGTTTTCCCCAATAAAATTTCTAGTGTCGGCACTGGAATTTTTTCCTGGCCGTCACTTTGCGCCTCTTTTCCTGTGCTAGCACTAGAATTTTTCTAAAAAAATTCTCTCCGTGTATTAAAGTAAACCCTTTCTTCCGTATTCTTCGTCAACTGGGATTTTTTAATCAACAGATTTCATTATCCCCGTCAATATTAAATATCGATTTCCACCAATTCGTCAGTTGAAATTGTAATTTTATTTCTTTAAAAACGTTCTGACAGTTCATCAAATTGAAAGGCTCCTCCCTCGCTTTCCGTGCAGAATGGTGTTGCGCGATAATGTACGCTAGTCACGCAACATGTCCTTTTTTCCAGTCATCCCTAAACTCGATTGTGAATAAAAAATCATGCCAATTGCATCCGCACGCATGTCAGTAGCACGGCGGCAGCAATAATCCTTCTTTGTTGTAAAAACCACAAGTTAAATTGCGTAATGGGTAGATGCAGAAGCATCCCCATCATTACATCGATTTCCGGTAAATAGAGAATTAAAATATGGGGAATAAATAGAGAGGGAGTGTCTTCGAACTGTTTGCATTTGAACGACTGGCTCAGGTGATGGTTTCACTGTCGCAACGTTTACCCTTTAGTAATGTACCAACGAGGACAAACATTTTTTATTTTAATTACCTCTGATTTACGCATTCATAACGCTTTTTTCACATTTTCGTTCATCATTATTCAATGCATTGAATAATACAAACGCAGATGTTTTTCAAATTATTCACTGAAGTTAAGGAGAGACTACTGTGAGTTTTAAAAGTCGTGGGTTATTGGACTGAGACCCTTCATACGTTGAAGATTGATTATATAGATCTGACAACGAATAATTAGTACAAAAAAAAAATTTTTTCATTGTTCGTTTCCCCGAAAACGCTTAAAATGCTAAAAACAGTCCAGGGCCTCCAATTTTTTAGCTACGAATGATTTTTTTTTCAAAATTTTCGGAAAAATATGTGGAATAACAATTACGAGCTATTTTTTTTTTAAATTCACCTCTTACATGGCTAAATTTGCTTTTTTTGTATTTTTTTACACAAATAGTGAATTTTTTCATACGAAAAAAAAAACGAAACCAGCTGTGTAGAAGTCGAATTCCAAAAAACTGGCTCATAATTGTTGTTCCACACATTTCTTTTGTAGCTCAAAAATTGGAGGCCCTGGACTGCTTTTAGCATTTTAAGAGTTTTCGGACAAACGAACAATAAAAAACTTTTTTTTGCACTAATTACTCGTTTTCAGATCTATATAATCGATCTTCAACGTATGAAAAGTCTCACTCCAATAACCCACAACTTTTAAAACTCACAGTAGTCCCCCTTTAAAAATGTGAGGGGAATTTCATTGAAATAGTATTTTCCTTGCTCCTTACTCAGGTCCAAAATTAACCCCGGCGATATCGGCCGCGAACTCTCTTCCTGAGAGTCCATCGCCTGAAGAAGACACATTCAACCCTGAGGATCCGTCAAAACCGCCGAATAAACAGAATGGAGTTGCTGGGGATGGAGGCGACAGTGAAAGTGACCCCGAGACACTCTTCTTCAGGTGAAAGCTCTCATTTGAAAATCACGTGCATCATTTCAGTAGCGAAGCGGTAAACCGGGTTAAGTCGATTTTGACTATTGGCCAGTTTTTGACGAATATCTGGGAATCTAAAAGAGATAGAAAAATTTTTGTCATGACCTTTTTTGTAGAGCCAACTGAGGGTTATAAAAAAGGTAATGAGCAAAATTTGTCTATCTCTCTTAGATTCCGAGATATTTGTCAAAAAATGGCCAAAAGTCAAAATCGACTTAAACCGGTTTACCGCTGCGCTACTGATTTATTTGTTCAAATGATTGAAGGAAGCGGGAAACGTAAATCAACACGCACGAGACACAATCTATGTCACTTTTATCTGCCACAATTAGATGAGTTGCGAGAATGAGTCGCGTGTATTTTTTTTGTCACGCGATTTTTCGACAATGTTGTCACATTATTGTGACTATTATAATCTAGATGAACGTGTTCCATCGAAAAATGCGTGATTCTCCAGCGTATTTGTTTAATTGCGCTAAAAATACCACTCTGGAGAAATTATTTATTCCACGTCAAGTGGTAATGAATGGAATATTTTTGGACACTCGATGGCATGATGAGAAGACCCGCAATCAAGCTAATCCTGGGGGAATAAACGAATCGGAACTCCTGATTCCTGACCTTTCTCGTCCCGAAATAGATGACGAGAAAAACTAATAACGAAAGAGTGAATTTTAAAGACACGAGTGATTAATAATTGAGGTAATCAGGTGGTTTTCCACAAACTGGAACGAGGGCAATGTGGGGGCGATCTGTAAAAAGCTAGTGCACCACTATAAATTCATCTGTCAATAATCCATGCACCACCGCTAGAACTCATGGATTTCATCAGCTAATCTTTTCTCATTTCTTTCTTTCTAACAATTACCCTCAGGGACGGGCGAAGGCGTATTGACATGGTTCTGGTTTACCAGGAGGAGACAGAGGGAGTAATGACGGAAATTGAATCCAAACGAAGGGAGCAGAGGAGAATTTTCCAAGAGAATTTGCTCAAGGAGGGCCTGCAAATGGAACTAGAGCCCAAGGAGAATTCCTTCGATGGAAAAACATTCTTCCTGAAGATTCACATACCCTGGAAAATTAAAGTGCAATACGCTGAAGTTATGAACCTCAAACTATTGACTAAAAGATTCATAACAATCAGTGTTAAGGCGTGGGTAAGGAATATGTCATGAAAATTGACAAAAAGTTGTGGAAATTGTGAATTGCATGTTACTTTTATTGAAGGGGGACGATGGGACCAAAATAAAGAAGAAATTTTGGGAGAAGTGGACGAGCTTGGTGAACTTCCTCCAGAAATTTCACATGTGGGACACGAGCCTCTACCCGGAAGAGCCCAACTTCTACGCGACTCACGATTCCGGCGACAGGGAGGAAAGGTATTAGGAGAGTCAAATACTATAAATAAATAAAGGAGAGCCGCCGAATTATCGGTGGTTCGTTGATCCCATTTACACGTGATTCAACAGCAGTCTGAAGGCTAAAATTAATGTGTAGAATTTATTTGAAGACCTCAATAGTGACCTCTACCCTCTATAGACACTTGTGAATAATCCAGCGACGTTTTTCATTCATTTATAAATACGAGTGCTTTTGGTGCAGACAGAAGGGACGGTTTCTCAACGATTGTGCACTAATCTATGAATACTGCACATCACTTGTGTGCCTCATCGATTAACTACAGTGCCCCTTTTTGCCCCCCAGATTCCTCGTAAAGGACAGGGAGACGGCGTATACACCGGCCCAAAGGTCGCTAATCGTTTATCAGATTTTAATGCGCGCCAGGTACGACGAGACCCACGAAAAAGCGGGAATCAGACGATTAATTGCTGATGGATCTTATCTGGACTGTTTTTGCCTCCACGAGGGGCCCTACAATCGGCCTGGGCCCGATGGCGTCCCCCTTGATCGCCATTTACTCTACTTGATTTGGGCGCGACCCTCTCAGTGGTAAGGGTTTTAAAAATAGAAAAAAACTCTGAAATATTCAAATCCAATCGATTACGCGACTTCTGAACAGTTGTAAAATAACATTGTCTATGAAGGGTACTTGAAGTGCTTGTTTTTGCGGTAATCGCTATTGATTTCTCACTGCACTGCCAGCATGTATTGAATTTCTGTTGAACTTCCTACTTGTTTACTTGGTCGATTCAGTGAACAAATTCCGGAGCTTATCTGCGTGTTTTTTTTCAGTAGAAATGTTAGAGAAAAAATATAATGATGACGGTAAAGAAGGGAATTCATATAGCGTTCCACATCCTTTTGAAGTCGTAGGAAATGATTGGACGGACTTCGGATGAGGTAGGAGGGAATCGGCATTATTCTGAATAAGAATAACCAGAAAATCAGTAGTCAAACGGTTCGACCAGTTGTCAAACGGTTTAAGTCGATTTTGACTACTCGTGAGATTTCAATGATTATTTTTTTCTCTCAGAATTCAGTAGTGAAGCGGTAAACCGAGTTAAGTCGATTTTGACTATTAGCCAGTTTTTGCTGAATATCTCGGAATCTAAGAGAGATAGCAAAATTTTTCTCATGACTTTTTTTATAACGCTCTATTAGCTCTACAAAAAAGGTCATGACAAAAATCTTTCTATCTCTTTTAGATTCCGAGATATTCGTCAAAAACTAGCCAATAGTAAAAAACGACTTAACCCGGTTTACCGCTTCGCTACTGAGAATCGTTTGCGGTTGTTTAGTTCGTTGGCATGACAGCGGGGAATATCCGAAAAATATCCGAAATAATACCCTAGTAGTAGCCCCAAATGCAACGATTCTATTGGTTGTAATTCAGTAGCGAAGCGGTAAACCGGGTTAAGTCGTTTTTTACTATTGGCTAGTTTTTGACGAATATCTCGGAATCTAAAAGAG